AGTACTCGGAGAAAACCTGCCCCAGCGCCACTTTGTCCACCACAAATCCCACTTGACCAGACCCCGGGATCGAACCCGGGCCACCGCGGTGGAAAGCCAGCGACTACCGGGGTAGCTTAATCAGTACAGTGACGGGCTACCGGCTGGACAGCCGGTGTTAGATTCCATGTAGGGAGGAAAAGAGTTTTTCCAACAGCTTCCAGACATGTTGTGGGGCCTACCCAGACTCCTATCCAGTGGGTCGATGGGTATGGGGGCTCTTTCCGGGGTGCATGAAGCTGACCACTCACCATCTAGTATAAAAATCAAAAGTAGTGGAGCTATACCTTTGCTCCCCCATAAGTTATCATGGTGTTGTGCGTAATTAATTTAGCACGGGATAACGCTCTTTACCTTTGCCCAGGAATCCATGTGTTTTAAAATAATTTATATCGAACTCTTATGAAAGAAATGACTAAACCACCTTCGTTGTGCAAAAGAGTCCTTTACTGGGAGTCTTTCCTCAGGAGTATAGACTGGTGCGTGAAGCCAGCCACTCACCTCACCTGTTGATTCCAGGGATAACTTTACCTTTAATCCTTGAACAGCTTATGGCTACTCTGCTCTGCAGGAAATTCTCACCTTTTATGGAACGTAAATATCCGTTATTTTGTCCAGAATTTTAGTCATCCACACCGAACTCTTGCTTATTTCAGCAACGCACCTCCGAAATCTATTGTAGATGATTTTCTAACATCATTGTCTATGGGCATTATGAAGAAGACAGAACAATGAAGAACTAATTGTCACGTTCGGAGAATATCCATATTTAAAATTACCAATATAGAAACTGAATCAAATGCAGTATAAATTTCGGAATTGTGTTTATTGAAAATAATTATGGCGGTTACGTTGTTCGAACGGTATAACATTTGAAGGAGTGAAAATAATAAGAGACCTCCGCATTTATGGTTCTCATTCATCTGTAGCGTTTTATAGCATCTGTTATAGGGGAGTCAACGAAAAGAAGATTATTCAGCTTAGAAGTCATTGTTAATAGGCCTTTATAGATGTTCATATTCCCACTAGTTTCAATTCCGATATTAACATGTTCGATAACTGTGCGGATGTATTTTTATGTTCTCTTTTAATTATTAGGCTACATTTTATTGGATTAGCGACCTGTATAATATAAAGTGTTCCCTCAGGTTTGTAAGCTAGGTGCTGCCTCTCATAGTTCCATAACCGTTTCAGTTTTATCTTATCTATTCTGTAGCCACTCCACGTGGTTAGGTGATATTCAAGGATTACAGTGTTAAATTAGTATTTGGAAAATACTGGTTACAGAAAACAGCCCTACAGATTTACATTTTATGGATTTTATAGTCCTTACTCAGACATAGGCTCTGAACCTTCATAGCCACTTACGAAGTACTCTAGAATAGCGTATACTCATTTAAGCATCATCAGTTGTAGTGGGCCCAGGCCTACCTCCATGAACTTCTCCGTTCACTTCGGTTTTTCTAGATCTTACACATTCGGTAGGACTCCTTGGGCGGGTGATCAGCTCGTCGCAAGGTCTCTACCTGTACACAAACACACAAAAACGCACACACACAAACTAAACATCTATGCCCTGAGTGGGATTCGAACCCACGATCCCGGTTTCCAAGCGAGCGAAGACAGTACATGCCTTAGACCGCTCGGCTACCGTGACCGGCACCAACTGAGAAAAAAAAATACAACAAATTGGTTTTGGTTTGTGATTTTTATTGAAAGTAAGGTAGAATGTGTTTGAAAAAAATACAGCGAATGATATTGCTCTGTCTCAGTCACATTAATAAACTTTACCGTTTAGCCCATTTCGCTTATTCTTGAAGTACACGTATATTTCGGTGCATGACACTATCATGCCTACGTGATTTGTGTGCGCCCCCTCTTCTTCCCACCAAAGACACCGAAGAAGCCCGCGAGAACGTCACCACTGGAGGGAATCACAGGTGTCTGGTTAGTACTCTTTCGTCAGCAGTAACAGCACCGTAGTCTTGAGAACTGAGGTGAAAGTGTCTTTGTCACTCTTCATTGCAGTGTAGACCACTGTAATGCAACATTGCTGTTTGAAAAATGCTCATTCTTGTGGTCACTTTGTGTAGTTGAAAATCTTCACGATATCAGCACACCTATTTACTGATTCTGTTCGACGACGATACCTGACGAACTGCTGCAGCAAAATATGGACAATTTTCCCGAATTCAAACATGCAACCATGGTAGGTGTGGCTGATAAGTACAGTATGTACTTAATATTTTGCGTGTCGAGTTACATGTCTGAAAATGCCATGATTTTGTACTACCTTGATGAAATTTTCATTGCCGATACGACCAAAATATATGACGAGAAGTTCTTTTATATTTTCACCCACACTGTTAAGTAACATTAGCATTCTGAATGCCTACAAAATGACAACCAGCTAATAATCTTGAAAGGAATTACGATGATTTCTGGATGTAGTCGCATATATATGCACATTGTTAACCCTAAATGGCGTCAAATACACGTACGCATGAGGTTTATTTAGCTCTTCGGGTTGTAATTTATGTAGGCCGATACCTATATAGTGCTAGGTTGTTTCACCATGGTATCCTCAGATGAGTTTACGATTATTTGTGCACTCTACGGTATACGTGATATTGCAGCACTATTTGAAGTACCATAAGTCAAACCACAACGTAGTCAACTATGCTATGCGACACGTCACAGAAAGGAGTGATAGTGACGACTGGACCGTGGAATGTGAGGAGAATTAAATAAAAGAGGACGTGCCCCATATGTACGAGGGAGTCAGTAAATAGGCACAGCTATAAGTAAAACAGCTGTAATTGACGTAATAGTTTTTCATTGTGTGTCACTAGGTAGCAGCACAGTCCAGCTTCATGACAGTCTAGGTAGCCGACACGCATACGGAGGCTGGTTTTGGTGGTCATAATGGCAACAGTGCTTGAGGAGTATACTAACGAAGAGCAGCGTTCTATTATGATTCTTTTGTGTGCAAACTGACTCAATGCAAAGTGCATTCATAAAGAAAATGTTTCTTGCTTACGGCGGGAAGTTATTATCGCGTAAGGCGGTTCACAGTTGGGTGGCAAACGTTTTGCTGATAACGAAGAGGTTGAAACGGAGGTACTGAAGTAGGTGAGTGAACAGTCAGAAGACTTCTATGCTGCGAGTTTTGACACGCTGGTAGAGCGATGGGACATGTGTATCATTGTTGGTGGAGGATGTGTCGAGAGATAAATGTTTTTCCCAGGTTCAAATATCATATGTCTTACGTTTTATATCCATTTATGACCCATTTACTGACTCCCCTCGTATTATACAAAACTCCCAGCTGTCTTCTTTGCTGTTTAACATACCTGCGGTCGGTTTATGCCTAAGTGGCACTTCAGCAAGACACTAAATATAGTAAGTAAGAAAGGTAAGGTAAGATAAGAGGTAGAGTTATCCCTGTAAGAGGCTATGGAGGCTCATAGCGTTGTGAGACGTCGAGCCTCTAACATTTTCTAGACAGTCGGCACACAGATGGAGGTGAGGGTGTCAGTATTACACGCCGGCCGCCCTTTACCCCCAGGAAGATCCCTTGTACTAATTTCTGTTAGAAGCTGAGTCGATCCCAGGACCATATTGCGGCTGGAAGGATTAGGTTAATTGAAAAATCCAGTGACCTCATCAGGAATCGAACCCACGACCTTCCGGCTGGTAGCATAGTGCCTCTAGCAACTGCACCACCGCGTGCCCCAAATGTATTAGGTAAATCGAGCAAAATTCGAACAGCTTACTAATGCATAATATCGAATTTTTGTAAAATCTGTGAAACAGTGTTGCGTTACATAGGTAAGTCCTTACGTAGAGTAGGTTTTGTAATCCGTGAGTATGGGTACCGATCGACGTGGCAGACTAACGTTACGCAAAGACCATTCGTATTGAATGTGACAAAATTTGACCGGTGATTTAAAATTGTGTATATGGAAAATCCATTTAATGACCATATGAAAAGTAGACTTTGTAGGGGATGGCTAAAAATTGGAATTATGTGACAACTTTTAGTGAACGTCGCTCGTGTCGGATTTTAAAAGAAGCTGCCGACCTGTTTAGGCGCAAATACTAGGTCACGGACGGATATGACGTCCACATAGGGCGTTCTGATATATAGCCGACAATCATAGTGTAATTCGCGATTTGTGGGTCGTAGTAGGCTTGTCGATTCCTCTGGCAGTACGAATCTCCGTGCCCCAATTGAAGGGGGTAGCCTCAAATGTCCGCCTGAGCGGCCCAGCTATTTGCGGGAAGGCCTAGGATGAACAGCCGTCTAATTCCGGTACGCAGCCGTAATGAAACACCGTCTTCAGTACAGATCACTGTTGCAGCTTCTAGGAAAGCTGTAACCGTGCCCGCGTAAAACGAAGCTGTCGCGTGCCACACACCAGTGCGAAAGCTATCGTCAGTGTTTGCTATATTTTTTCGTCCGTGTGAACGAGTCTCTGCACTCTTTGAATGCATTGTGGATATTCCTGCCAAAACGGAAATAAAGGGAAAATGAAGTATATGTGTACTTTCTCTCAGCAGGAGTTATTCTCGCGTGAATCGTGTACAGTATAATACATAAATGTGAATCCGGACGTACTACTGAAATCTTTGTACTCTGTACATAGCGTTTATAGACAAAGTTTTCTTCCTTTTTCTTCCATCTTACTCTTTAATGAGTCAGGAATGACAGCGGTATAAATGAAAAGGGTGTTATCTTATGGAATATCTGTGTCGTACAGTACTTCACCGACGTTTCGGAGGAACATAGGTCGAGCCGCAGTAGTCATATTCCTTTTAAAGGATATTTCTGCCATATGTGTCTGTAGGGCTCAAGGGACTTTGTAGAAACCTTGTATATGACTGAGGAAGCACGGGACATTTAAACCTTATGTAGTAAAACGAGAAAGGATGACATAAAATATGTTATTTCTTTTCAGTGAAGGAAGTGGACGGGATATCCAAAAATGAATCAGTTGTGCCGTCAAGTCAGTATTGAGAGCCCTGGGCCGACCATTAACGACTGCGTGTTCAGTTTCGAGGTTCCAGTTCCGGATGTTCCCCCGAAAGGTGCCAGAATAAGGGTAAGCATGATATCTTGAGATTTGTGTTCATATGTGGGCCTTTCATCATTCGGTTATCAGAAACACAAACTTGAAACGTCAGTAGTCAGTATGGGTGTCATAAATAGTTACAAATCAATGAAAACGAGTTTGATGTGTTAACATTATTTTTGAAGAAAGCAGTCTTCTGGGATTTGGCACCGTGTATATGTGGTGTTAACCGACGTTTCGGAGGAACGTATAGCCTCCATCTTCAGGGTAGAAGAAAAAATATAAGAAATCTGCAAGCGAAGAGACCGTGAGAACCGGTAAAAGCATGCTTTTACAGGTTAACCGGAAAAATGATCCTTTGTTTTCCTAAATATCTCCCACTCCTCTCATGATTTTCACGGCCACCTTTTCAGTAAATTTCAGGTGTTCTTCAGTTCAGTATTCGGAATGTTTAAAAGAAGAATTTTTTCTACGTAATTTCTATTATTGTGGCAGTTCCCTACTTTGGAGGTAAGTTACAAACTCCAGGTACTCTTGAAGAAAGTCGTCTTCTGGGTTTAGGCACCGTGTATTCTTCGTTTTGGCCGACGTTTCGGAGGAACGTAGCGCCTCCATCTTCAGAGCAGTAGAATGGCTTGGAATGCGGAGAGCAGTAGCTGTAGCAGTAGCTACTGCTCTCCGCATTCCAAGCCATTCTACTGCTCTGAAGATGGAGGCGCTACGTTCCTCCGAAACGTCGGCCAAAACGAAGAATACACGGTGCCTAAACCCAGAAGACGACTTTCTTCATTGTCATCGCCGTGAAAACCTCAAAACTTCCAGGTACTCTTTTTCGACAACTAAGCACTACATTTTAATAATAACTTGAACTTTCATTACAAACAAATTAGTAGCTTTCAACAGAATTTGAATACCCTCCCTCTACAATAGAAAAATGTTGTGAATTGATTACAGCAGTTTTGTGTTCATTTTAAGTAGAATGGCTGCCAAAGTAATTTTTATGAGTATTAACTTCCGAAATGGGCCTCATCGTTAAAATATTTTTAAATAAGGCAGTCATAAATTTTAAAAATTAAATAATTAATATTACTTACATGATGAACATATAGTACATCTTATAAATAAAAGTACAGTTGATAACGTACATATTTATTATGAATATTACATTTATTTTAATTAATAAATATGAAGGGTGGGAGCCACAGAAGTGAATGAAACTCTGAAGTGAGCCACGAGCAAAACAAGGTTAAGTACCACTGACTAAGCCATGAACTGTCTTCGCTCTCTCGAACACTAGGATCATGGGTTCGAATTCCATTCAAAGCATGGATGTCTATTGTGTATTTATGTTGTTTTATGTGTAGTTAGAGAGACCTTGCAACGGGCTGAACCCCTGTCCAAGGAGTCCTACTGACTGTGTATAGGATCAAGAGACTGAAAAAGCGGCCAAGGTCCAACAAAGGACTAGAGCAATAATAATAACTTCAATTACGTTGATGATAATTCCTTTTTTTCCTATGAATAGTTTGCCTTATAATTGGTGAGTAAATTAATCTTGTGAAGGAATTAGAGCTGTCCTAGTGTTTAATTAAGCACTGCACCATGAAGACATAGGTCTGTTGGGGAGTGGAGTTATAGTTTCACCATTCTTAACTTCGACACAAAACCAAGGTGAGTGGTCAGCTTCACGCCCCTACTGCTGCATGAATTGTTAGGTCTACTATCTGCTTACTCATCACGAATAACCTCTCATTAATGTGTATGCAAGGGATCGGTCAATTAATCAGAGAGCGTGTGAGAGAGAGGTGGGTTGCTTAGCCGAGGAGGAAGAGATTCTTCCCAAAAGCAGGGGCTGGAAGTGGAATCGTGTAATTCGCATACGTGTATTTTACCAGGGGTTTAGGTCCATTGTCCTTCCTGCAGAGTGAGAAAACTTGTGAGTGGCCGAGTCGGGCCAACCCATAACGACGCATTGATTTGTTTTAAGGAAACGCAGTTTAGAAAACTCACTGTATGAACAACATTTAAAAATGTTAGTTCTTAGAAGGAGAAATGTTCATAGAGTGACCAGATAAGGTTTCACTGAATTCGTAATTTTATCACAGAAGAGATAGCATAAAGAATACCCATGCAAGCGTAGCAGTTCTAGACCTACCAGCTGTTGCCTCATTGAACTGTGTAACACTTCTGTAATGTTCGTTCTGGACTTGGTTAGGTACTTCCTAGAGGATACAGAATAATTTGCTTACGCAAGAGATGACGTATCCGCAGAGATATTTTAGACAGGCAACATATTTCGTTGTGGATAATTATGTTGAGGTGTTGAGATCGCTTGCTGTTTTAATGGTAATTCGGCCCACAAACATGGCACATGGGGTTCATATTCCACGATCGGCCCATACGCTTGCGTTTATTGTGTGATGTGCCTGAAATAAACTCATATAGGGCTGGCCATGTCTGTCTGCATGTTTCAGCTCGAGAACCGCCGGACGTATTTTCATTAAGCGTCATACTGAAGAAAATTACGAAAAATTCTCGAACCATTTCAGTTTCCAACTAAATCAGACATGCTTAACTTGACTACACGAAGGCCTACATGTGTGTCGGAACGTATCTCGATAAATATTCATCTTAAGGAAAAATTTGTGGAACAAGTTGTAGAGAGTAATGAAATACTCATTTTATGTTCAATATACTTTCACCTAAATTCTTAGGATTTTCTAGAGAATTAAAATAAAGGGATGTGATGAGCATATTGTCGAACTTCTACGTCAGGGGTTAAGAAAGAAAAAGAAAAAATAAAAGTAGTTATTGAACTTAAACTGCGTTCAGAGAGGTTTGTTTTGTTCTTTCAGTGTAGTGCTGCACTGCAATAAGACTTCCAAATGTGTATTAAACAGTTTATGCACTTAATTTGTATACATATCCATCTGTGTACGGGGTGCAAATGATGAATCTCGAAACTTCGTGTATTGTGATGTAATTATACGTTCCAGTCTTGTTACAGGCAAGATTAATGTTCACAAAAGCGTTTATTCACAATGTGTTATAGCCTGCAGCAGCAGCAACAACAACAATTAATGAAATGTCAGAAAGTTATCTCAGAAATATAAGTCATTCTTGATCAACAGAGTTTTATTCTGATATAAAATACAGTTCGTTTAGCAACTATTCAGTACATAAAACTAATCATTTACAAAGCTGAGCACATTAGTGAAACGTAACATCTTAAGACAAGTAAGTTTCCTCAGAGAAATCGACGTTTTGCCATTTCAGGCGCCGATGCGTTCTTCGCCCGGCATTTGATAGTCTTTCAGCCGGTACTACGGATTGTCTACAGAGACTGATGTGAAGTGCCATACTCTTGCTGCACAGCAGTCGTGTAGCTTCCTTTTATTGGCCGCTAAAAGACATGATATATTCTCACGGCTATATGCCTCCGCATACAGAAAATCGTGTACCTTTTTCGTCTTGTATTTTCGAAAATTCCAGACGGCCGAAGATCTTTTTACATGTTTCTGAACTCAGGAACTCTCAGCTCCTCTCGTTGTGACACTTATGAATATTTAGTTAAAGTAAGGAGGCTAATGGCCGCTCTCCAAGAGGAAGGAAAGCTTCAAGAATTTTTATAACACCGCTACTCACACCCGGGTCCGAGAAAAACGGTAGTTCTTAATAAAATCGCATATGATGATTGTTCAGCACACTTCGGTGCCATTGTCAGAAAACTGTTATAAAATTAAACCCCTTGTTTCACACAAGATATCTCACGTTCTTAGGACAATGTCACATTTTAAAATACATTCCGAACTAGTTCTCACCACGACGAAGAATTTAATTAGTCAATATCGTTCTCAGGAACTTCAGGCTTTCGTGTTTTCGCTCTGAACATACTACTTTTCAGCAAACAAGACAGCAATAAATCAAATCCATAATTTACAGATATGCCTAAGGGCGACAGAAGAACCGCCCATTTCTTTTTGTTTTTCTGTATCCCTTCAATTTGTTTTTTTTTTAACATATATGTACGCAGGAGTACTGTTATCTGAGTTGTCACACCATGTAATCCGGTAGAAGTCCCCCGACGTTTCGGAGGAACGTGCCCTGAAGACGAATTCGGCACGATCCTCCGAAACGTTGGCGGGCTTCTGTTAAACTACACGGCGTTACAACGAAAAAGATTGTACTCCTCATACTCATCGCTGTGGGAACCTGTATATGTATGTATGTACATATACGTATATACCTTTCCTTTATTCTCCCCTCCCTCCCTCCCTCCCTCCCTCCCTCCTTTCCACCAACCCAACCTCGTTATTTTTTCTCTCAGCCAAGTGATTCTCTTTATAATATGCTGATTTTCGAAACTTAAGTTAATAGGCATGGAAATGCTGGCCATATTAAGGCGATGACTAAGTATACATTCTTAATGTCTGCGACGGACGGTACAATAATGTTTTTAATTACTTTTATGATCATGTTCTTGTAACCCAGAAAAAACTCCAGGGTCTGAGTTACTCGCCAGTCAGACTGTTTGGTACTTGCATATGAATAGACATCTAGCTGTTGGGCCTTCAACGAATCCTGTCAGACGCAAAGTAGATTAGACCAGTGTACCTGCCCAATAAAACATTCGTAAATGCTGATTTATAGAGCTGAAGATTGTGGTGTATGAATATGCATGTATGTTTTTCGTGTGCCAGATGCTTTTGTGTTCTGATATGGATAAGATTCTCATCATTGTTCGTATTTTGTTCGCCATATTCGACTTGAAAGGATATTCCATTCATTTCGCGATGGACGACACGGCATTTTCTAAAATGGCATATTTGACGAGAATTCATGCAGTCGATAAACAGACAACGGGTGCGCATGTAACCATATCCACTTCTTTTGTACTCTGAAACGAAGTTCATTCCAACGGCAGTGGATACGTAACAAAGCCCAATAAGATTAGTAATAAATATGCATTCTGTACGGCACTAGAGGGAGGCAGATGGAAAGTTTGACGCGCCTGTTGCTTTTGCTCCTTA